AAAGAATAAGGTTTCTGGGCTGAACTTAAAAGATTAAGGAAAAACTAGGCATTTTTGAACTTGTAACTTAAATAAGTTGACTATTAAATTTGTAAAACTGAATAAATCTTTTTGTGCACACACACACCCCGTTCCATTTCAGGGCGCTATGATCACCACTTCTGAAGGGCTGTACAATGTCCAAATTACTATGCTTACACACAAAAAAGTCAGTTCATCCTTACAACCCTGTGTCAATAATATGATCAAATACCAATATTGTTTACCAAATAAATGCCACCCAAATTCGAAAACCTTGCTCAGCCCTCCAGAGCCTGCCTTGAGATGGTAAGGTCTGATATGATTCAAGGTGCATTCCTCCTAAGGTGCTTGCCTTTTGGGGGTGGTTTTTTTTTTTTTTATGGCTACCAAAGGGGAGGGGTGTGGGAGAGTGGGTGGGGAGCAAGGGAGAGGGGGATTGAGGGGTATTAGTACACATGGTGTGGGGGATCAGGGGGAAAACAGTGTAGCACAGAGAAGGCAAATACTGAATCTGTGGTATCTTACTACACTGATGGACAGTGACTGCATTGGGGTAGGAGTGGGGATTTGATAATATGGGTAAATGTAGTAACCACATTGGTTTTTCATGTGAAACCTTCATGAGAGTTTATATCAATAATACCTCAATAAAAAAAACCTAAGGAAATCTACATAAAGTATGGAATGATAATGTATCAGTATTGGTTCATTAATTCCACCAATTGTACTATAAGTTAATAATCAGGGAAGTTGGGATGGTGTATGTGGGAACTCTGTACTATCTTTGCAACTTTCCTGTAAATCTAAAACTGCTCTAAAATTTAACGTTTATTAAAAAATAAAGACTTTGAGAAGATCATCCTACAATTTTCAATGATACAACTGATGAATCACGCCAGTGAAGAAAATCTTACAGATCCTAAGTGCTCCCTTTGTATTATAGGCATGATGAAGTATCAACTAGTTACTAAGTGACAACTTATTCACTTTAGCCTTCCTTGTTACTATTTTAAGTGTCACACAATCCATAAGACCTATTATTAATATGTATTTTAAAACTTCTGGTTTGACTTATCTGATTCCAAAAGTAAAAAGTTAACTTGGGGGAGCCAGGATGGCAGCATGAGTAGAGCAGTGGAAATCTCCTCCCAAAACCATATATATCTATGAAAATATAACAAAGACAACTCTTCCTAAAATAGAGACCAGAGGACACAGAACAACATCCAGACCACATCCACACCTGCGAGAACCCAGCACCTCGCAAAGAGGGTAAGATACAAGCCCCAGCTCGGCGGTACACAAGCACCCCTCCCCCAAGCCCCTGGCGGGTGGAGAGGAGTCAGCAGGGAGGGACAGAGAGCCCAGGAGTGCTGAACACCCAGCGCCAGGATTCCGGACCAGAGCGCAGACACAGTGCATGCGTGGGGTCCTGGACACTAGGGAAACAGGGCAGCAGGACCGGTGAGCAGGTGCCTGAGGCTGATGCTGGAGAACAAAGAAACGGGGGTGGTTTTTTTTTTTTTTTTTGCATAATCTGAATCCAATTTTCTGCCCATGTCATGTTCTCATCCATTTATAAATTTGTGTGTGATCGCTTGTCATCGGAGTAAATTATTTCATCCCTAACTAATGAATTTATGTTCCTTATAGAAGACAAGTTTAGCTCTATGCCAATTTAACTAGGGAGTGTTGATGGGAATCTGAATAGCCCTGTTTTGCAGCCAGCCTGTGCTTTGGAAGTTCCTGATTTCTGATTGTTTGAATTCCGTTGTGGTCTGATAGGCACAGTCAGAGTCACACCGTGTGATCCACAGAGCAGCACATTCAGCCTCACTGACCTGCAGAACTAGAACCTGCCAAGATTCCCAGTGATTCACATGCACAGAAGCATTTAGGATGCATTGGTCTAGACAAGAGTTCGGGTAACAGCCATCGCTGTTGCTGTGCTGTTGTGTGCTTGAGTCTGATGCTCAACAGAGTACATAGGAGCATTTGTTTTAAACAAAAAGCTGACAGGTTCCAATTCAATATATTCTATAAACTGTCTCTACAAATTGTTGAGGTATGTGTGTGCTTGTTACTGGGTTAATGTAAATGTTACATAAATGGTTGGACGGAAGTCTCGCAGGGTATGCAAGAGGGCAGGGGGTCTGCTGTGATCACCTGAGGCCCTGGCACCCTAGGGGCTCCAGGAAGTGTGGTCAGCTCCAGCTAGCTCAGCCACCATCACCCTAAGGCTGTGAACGGATTAGAGGAGGTCACAAATACATTTCTGTTCCTCATATCAAGGTGGGGAGCCTATCTCCTCTCTTCCTGAATGAACACACCTATGGTTGACTCTGACCTATAGAAGGTGGTGGAAGTGATGTTCTCAGACTTCCATCCCCAGGTTTAAGAGAACTGGCACTTCCACTTTCTTGTTCTTGGAAATCAGCCACCATGCAAGAAGTCAGATCACTCTGAGACTGCTGAACTATAAGGCAGCCCAAGAGAGCCATGCGGACAGGAGAGGAGTCAAACTACCTCAGTTAAGGCTTCTTTTACCTTTCATCCCAGGCAGCTGTGCAGCCCAGGGCATGGCTGCAGCCAATGACACAGGGAGCAGAAGAATCACCTATCCAACCCTGCCTGGCTCACAGGGTCATGAGCGCACAGTAAAATATTTGCCGCTTAAGCCTTTAATTTTTGAGGTGATTTATTACATAGCAATAAATAATGTGTGACAAATGCATAGACATGTGTGGCAGCAAACTATTTCTTATTCATGGCAGAATAAGTGCGGCAGTGGAGGACTTCCTCCCCCTGCCTCGGGGGAAGGGAGGCAATGAGGAAAGCCATGGAAGCTGAGGTAGGGAAGAAGAGCTCAGAAACAGAATGGGAGGAAACGCCGAAGAGCTCCTGGCCTGCTTTGCCTTAACTGCCTGTTCCCAGATGGGGCCGAGCAGTGGCCCATCCCTTTCTTTCTTTCTTTTTTCTAAAACTGGGCTGAAGCACAGCTCACCACCAGGCAAGTGAGCAAGCCACCAGTGGGGACCTCAGTGAGTTTTGACAGTGAACTCCTGCAGCTAGCTGGCACCCAGATCAGCCTGAGACACCCCCCGACCCTCAGCCATCCCTGACTTCCACAGGCCTGGGCCGCTGGGGCCTGTTGTAAATGCCCGGCGACTACACTGCCCACGGACGCATGCTACACGTATCCCCGGTGTCTGGCTTCTTTCTCTCGGCTTCATGTCAGTGACATCCATTCATGTTGCCGCGTGTGCTTGTAATTCATTTGTTCTCAGTGATGGTTAGGATCATTGTATGACTTTACCACGGTGTATCTGCGTATGGGTTGATTTTATCTAAAACAAGGGTCAGCAAACCATTTCTGTAAATGGTCAGATTGTAAATATTTTAGGCATTGCAGGCCATGGGTCTCTGTCGCAACTACTTATCTGCCGTTGTAGCTTGAAAGCTGCCAGAGGCAATGTGCAGATAAATGGATGTGGTCACACACCAAGACAACTGTCTCTACAGACCCAGAAATTGGAATTTCACATCATTTTCACATGCCACACAATTTTATTCTTCTTTTGACATTTTTCCTAACCAGGTAACAGTGTAAAAAATATTTTCCCACCGTTTTTTTCATCTTTTTAAGTTTCCAAATGTAGGTGAGGGTGCCGGCAAACAGGAATTCTGAGGGAATGTAATAAAGCGAGCCATTCTTTGGGGCTGGCGGTGGGGTGTTATACAGCAGGCACCTTAAAAATGCTCATCAGACTCCGACCATTTCTAGGCATTTGTCCAAAGAAAATAACCAGAGATGTGCATAAAGATTACTAGGCAAGGATATTCATCATACCCTATTTATAATATTGAAAAATTGGAAACAGGCTCCAACTTTCAGGTCTGGCAATTGGACAGGCTGAAGTAATGCACCCCATGCTCCTCGTATTGCCACAAACCCATAGACATGCTGTGTAAAATCTGATGCAACATTACATACACCGACCAGCTAGGGAGAAACAGCACGTTCCTGGGTGAGGAACACTCCAGTATTGACCCCCACCGTTAGGGGCTGGGGAAGGTCTCATCCTCCCAAGAAGTAGCAAGGACGGTTGTCCTTTGAGGGCCCTCCGAGGGAGGGCACGGTGCACTTCGGCCACATGAAGCCTCCCAGCTCATGCCCCTGGCTGTGTGGCCACTTGTTGATGTCCTTCTCCTTTCTTTCAGCAGTGTCCTGTAGCTCTTCCTGAGCAGCTGCTTCACCTCGCCGGTTAATTCCCAAGTATTCTATTCTCTGTGATGCTATTGTAAGTTGCATTGTTCTCATAATTTCCTTTTCAGATCGTTCATCATTACTGTATAGAAACGCAACTCATTGTCGTGTGTTGACTTTGAATCCTGCTACTTTGTTGAATTCATTTGCTAGTCCTAACAGATGTGTGTGTGTGTGTGTGTGTGTGTGTGCGTGCGTGTGTGTGTAACCTTTAGGGTTTTCTACATAGAAGATCAGCAGCAGCAAATAGAGGTATTTTCACTTCTTCCTTTCCCATTTGGATGCCTTTTAGTTATTTATTTACTTTGTTGTTGTTTTTACTGCTAGGTTATATTCCATGGTATAAACATACCGCAGTTTCACTATTCATCTGACATTTCATAGACTACTCGTAGAACAGTTTTGGTTATTTCCAGTTTTGAGCTATCATGACTAAAGCTGCTACAGATAATTGTGTACAAGTTTCTGTGTGGACGTAGGTTTTCATTGCCCTGTGCCCCTGTCCGTTCTCCACCCGTCCCCGCTGGCGCCCTGGGCCTGCGAGGCCCACCTGTCTGCACCGACCCGAGGGCAGGCGGCGCTCGTGTGCGGCCAGTGGCCTGGGTCCCTCCACAGAAGCTTGGCTCTTGGTGGTAGTTACACTTCCCAGGCTCTACTCACTCCTGTCAAGCAGGAACTGTGGAGGCACTGAGACGTCACCCTCCTGCAAGCTAACAAGTCAGTTCCCTGTCCATCTCCTGGCCGAAGGCACCGGAGCCCCAGTGAGAGACACAGGCTGTTGGTTACAGTAAAAGCAGTGGCCAAAGCAGTAGGCTGAGTGGGTGCCCAGCGCCCCAATTCCCACAGGGCCACGTGATCAGGGCCTGCCGCTCACCTGCCTGTGGGCGGGGGCCGCGCGTGGGAGCAGCCCTGAGTCTGGAGACTGGGCAGATGATACAATGTGATGTGTACATAAGGAGTTCCTTCACGAAAACGAATGCCAGCAACTGCGAAGAGCAACCCATTCAGTCTTCCTCTAAACGGAAGCATGGGGAAGTTCGGCCGTAGGCATGGGGTTCACTCGATTTGACCATTTTATTGAACATATGTCATATAAGAATATGGTGGCACTTACTAGCGAGAGGACGGCCGTTGTGATTCCTAGTGGGAGCACATAGGTGAAGCGTTTCCTTACTAGCATTTCTTTTTTAACAGGAAAACTAGGTGGAAAGTCAAGGGTGGTTTGGCCATAAAAATCCACATAGAAATTCATGGTCACTGCAGTGATATCACCAATGCCGCTCAAGAAAAAAAAGGAGGCGATTTTGTAATAAAATCGGAGGAATTCTGGGTGTGCATCAGTGATCCAGTGGACCCAAAGTGCCTTGGAGACAAAAATGAAGGTGACGAACACCATGCAATTCGCCACCAGTATCAGGTCCCACCCATACCGAATTTCATCCGTAAAGGACCCAGTTCCCGTTGAGACTGCTCTGCATGAGCAGCTGAGCCAGCGAGTTGGAGATGTTCATGTTATGAAAACAGAAAGCATCCCAAAGTCCAATGAACACAACGGGAGCAATGTTGCTGTCAAATTCCCACACGCGCCAAGATCTGCTGCTGGCTAGGGCTATGCCCAGAGACCAGACCAAAATGCTAATAAGGAGGCCCGTCAATTTGACGAAGAAGTGCTTCTGCTCAGGTTGACTGATAACAGGGTAGAGGCATCATGAAGACATGCCAGGAACACCAGAGAGAAAAAACAAACAGATGGAATGAGCTGCAGTTTAACAAGGGCTAATATTCACACACTGTCCTTGTCTAAAAGGTACATTTAAGTGTTCTATAAATGCATTGCCCATAAACTGGTGTTCTAAATATTTTATGTAAGAATAAGATGCCTAGAAATCCCTGACCATGGTGAACATATTAACTTGCAAAGCATTATTGGAACATAATTTGACAGCATCTTTCAAAAGTTCAAATGTGCATACAGTTGTCCAGCAGCTCGAATTCCAGGAATTCATACTGAGGTATTTATAAGAATTTGCAAAAATGGCACAGAGACACGTTAGTTTCAGCACCATTTATCATAAACATTGGCAGTGACGTAAATGTCTATTAATAGAGGAATACTTAAAAAAACTAGGGTAGATCCAGGATTATGGTGGAGTATCTCCATGGCCATTATCAAAAATGAGTTAATCCATTTGAATTGTCTCAGGAAACTTGTTTTATACCCAAAAAACCAAAATAAATAATAATACACATGATATATCCATTTGTGTCCAAACAGGCTAATTTTCTTTATATATATACAAATAGGTCTATACAATAGTTTTTTTAAAGTTTAGAAAGATGCACACAGAAAGAGTAATTCTGGGGAGACCAGTGGAGAAGGGTAAGGACTTTCATTCTTATTTACCTATTTTTCTATAATAGGTAAATAAGAATCAAACATTTGTATGGTTTTAATGGAAAACATACGTTTATAATTAAGAACAGAATGAATATAACTTTGAAGATCTTCACACAGCAAGTCATGCCTATTAATTTTTTTACCCATCGCTTGCTCAAAATCCCACCTTTTGATTTTGGCTTTTTTTGAGTTAAAACTATCCTGATTTTCTTTTTAGAAGAAAAGACAATTTCAAATTTATAAGAATTAAAAAATCTTTTTCCTTCCCTTATGCCCTTCTCTTTCAACATAAACAGAGAATAAACAAATATCCAGATGTATTTTGCATGAAGCAGATAGCTCCCAGGGAGACTGTGACCACCTTGTTTGGATCTCTTCTCACTTTGAATCCTGGGGAATACGTGCCAGGGAACATCAGGGAATGATACTCCTAGGTCCTCTCCCTCTTGATTAGCAGAAGGGAAAGCGGCAGGGTCTGCTCAGGGTGGACCAGTGTGTGGGCAACCTCGGCACCTGCCATGCAGATTTTAGAGGCCGCCCGACTGTGTCACCTTGCTCTGAAGCCTGATATTCCCAACACTGCTCCACTTATGCACAGTCTTTCTAATTGCTTGGGGGTAGTAGCTATACTGCTTGGGAAGTGACATTAGCAAGATGGATTTGGGACTGGCTGCCAATTTGATTACCTCTCCACCCAGGAATAAGACTTCCTTGCCAACGAAGGTCCAAAGGAATGGTCCACAGGACCAGTGAGGTTTTACAGAGTGAAGGAATCAGGAAGGAGAATGTTAAATTTACCAGTGGGCCCTGTAGAAGGACTGAAGAGTTCAGAAGACTGGAGAATGGCCAATATTCATCATAGCAGTGGGAAATGAACAGGAAGGCGAAAGGTGCAGCCAATTAAAAGATTCACAGAAAGAGAAGCACCTCCAGTAACAGAGGCATAGTTACGTAGTGTTTGGGCCTCTGAACAAAGTCCAGTGAATCCCTGCTTCTCACCAAATATGCATTACAGGTGTATGTTGTGCTTTGTATAGGTCATGCCCTATTTCAAATACTTTATGACTATCAACACATTCAATCCTCATGGCAGCCAAATGATAGATGCACAATTATGCCCCCTGTGGTATAGATGAGGGAGCTGAGCAGAGTGTCACACAGATACACACAGCAAAACCAGGCTCCAGAGCCCTTGCTATTGACCCACAGCTTCCCAGCTGTGCTGATGTTGGATGGTATTAATTCATAAAGAAAATGTATGAACAAAAAGAGAATCTATACACATCAACAGAATCAGAAATGAGAAAGGAAAAATCACAATGGATCCCACAGAAATACAAAAAATTATTAGAGAATACTATGAAAATCTATATGCTAACAAGCTAGAAAACCTAGAAGAAATGGACAACTTCCTAGAAAAATACAACCTTCCAAGACTGACCAAGGAAGAAACAGAAAATCTAAACAGACCAATTACCAGCAATGAAATTGAATCAGTAATCAAAAAACTACCCAAGAACAAAATCCCCGGGGGCAGACGGATTTACCACCGAATTTTATCAGACATATAGAGAAGACATAAAACCCATTCTTCTTAAAGTTTCCCAAAAAATAGAAGAGGAGGAAATACTTCCAAACTCATTCTATGAAGCCAGCATCACTCTAATACCAAAACCAGGCAAAGAACCCCCCCCCCCACAATATCCCTGATGAACAAAGATGCGAAGATACTCAACAAAATATTAGCAAACCAAATTAAAAAATACATCACGAAGATCATACACCATGATCAAATGGGAGTCATCACAGGGATGCAAAGATGGTACAACATTTGAAAATCCATCAACATCATTCACCACATCAACAAAAAGGACAAAAACCACATGATCATCTCCATAGATGCTGAAGAAGCATTCAACAAAATTTAACATCCATTCATGATAAAAACTCTCAACAAAATGGGTATAGAGGGCAAGTACCTCAACATAAT